ACAGCTTCAGGATGCCGTCACTGACTTCAGTCTCATCCTTGCCGCTGTCACGGTCCTCTTCATCCCACAGCAGCCCAGCCTTCTGAAACCCGCAGGTGATGCTGGATGTTTTCGCACGGTTTCATGCATTGAGAACCCACTGGCAGACATCAGTGAAAGATGCCCTTCGCATGCAGCCAGTTTTGGTGAAGGATTTCTCGCCACTGGTCGTCCACGTCTCCCGCTCACTGCGCAGTGCCACTTTAAATGCACGGTTCACACTGATGTCCAGTGGTTGCAAATACTTTGTTTTTCGCGGCATGAAAAAAAAACATGTATTAGCCGCACTGTATTATAGGCCACAGCGGGAAAAAAGTAGCGGCTTATAGTCCGGAATTTACGGTAAGTGTAAATGTAACCAAAATAGTCTCCAGCCAAGAGTTTCCTCCATGGCTAAAACCAGGGAACATACATGAGGCTCAGTGGATTTAGTGCTAGAAGTCATTCAAGCTCAGAACGATGGGAATGAAGGCAGTGGAGTCGCACATGCGAAGCACGAAACACAAAGCGTCAAAATGGAGTTACAGAGAAACAGCCGGTATTTCTCAGTTTAGTTCCACCCTTGTCTCTGCAACGCCTCCACTTATCACCAAATCAGGCATACTAAGAAAACCATACAAAGAAAAATAGCTGCAAAAAAGACTTAGCACTGGTTATGTTGGGGCTTTAAAACTGATTTGTTTTGTTTCCTGCTAAAACAAAGTTTGTGAATTCAGTTAAATAATTGTTCAAATATATCTGTCATTTGTGTGTTTTTAGCTTTCTTCCTGTATGGGAAGCTTTTCAACATTTGAAACATTAGTGCAGTGGTTTATGTTAAAATAAACCTTTGGGTTAAGTTGTCGCAAGCAGGTTTTTCTTGTGTTTCTTGTGAATTTGGTCTTAATTTTTTATTTTAAGTGGCATTAAAAAGTCTTAAAAAGTTTAACTTGTCTTATGCTGTAGGAACCCTGAACTAATGCAGAGTAAAATAGTTCCCAGATTTAGTTCTTCAGGCTGAGGAGCATCGATGTCCCTGTGTTGACTTGCTTTGGTTCAGCTCTCTGTTCTCCAGCCTTTAGTCATCAACTGATGAAACAGATTCTTCGAATTGTTCAGGGCGCTCTTTTTTTAAACGTGTCTGTTTGTGTGTTGTTTGAAGCTCCTTCTGTGGTTCCGTTAAAGACCTTTTTTTTTTCAAACATACCTACCAGTCTGGGACAGCACCCCATTCGTCTTCGGCTCGGCCTTTGAGACATACTTGTCTGAAATGTTTACCTCATACATAAAACAATTAGCTTCTATGTATTCCTCCTGTGATTTGTCACCTTTTTTTTTTTTTTTTTCCACCCGCCTGAATCCAGGTGTGGTCCTCTTCCTGGTGTTTATGCTGCTCGGGGTGATGCTTGATGGCAGACATCGACACCACATCCAAACAGTGAGCCGCGGCGCTGTAGGTTAATCAGGACCTTTGGTCAGGGTGAACGGGACGTAATGTCCTTCATCCTCCTCCCTCCCTCCGTGTTTTATTATCACCTCTGCTGTTTGTTTGGGCTCCTCTCCTTTGGTTCTCAGAGGTCCTTTGAAACTATATCGATTATTCCTTTAGATGGCAAATAAAGCCTTAGTTTACCTCCATATGGAGAACATTTTACTTCATTATTGCTGCAAGCTAACAACACGTTTTCCAGTAGTGCAGAAAAGAAACTATAACAAACTTTTTGACAAAAGAAGGGTTTAAAAGAAACTTTGCTGTTTTATTTGATTTTTTTTTCCAATTCATTTTTCTTCCAAATTTGTCTTTTTTTATTGCATGCAAACTGTTTCACAGACCAAATTCTCTATACTTCCAGCTCAATACTTCTATGAAGTATTAGGGCCAGGTTGGAGATTTTTTTTATTTATTCTGAGAATGAAGTCGTAACATTACGAGAATAAAGTTGTAATATTACAAAAATAAAGCCTAATTTTAGCTTGATATGGAGTACATTTTACTTCATTATTGCTGCAAGCTAAAAACATGTTTGCAGTAGTGCAGAAAAAAAACTGTAACAAACTTTTTGACAAAAGTAGGGTTTAAAAGAAACCTTCCTGTTTTATTAGATTTTCTTCCAATTTATTTTTCTTCCAAATTTGTCTTTTTTTGAATTGCATGCAAACTGTTTCACAGACCAAATTCTCTATACTTCCAGCTCAATACTTCTATGAAGTATTAGGGCCAGGTTGGAGATTTTTTTATTTATTTTGAGAATTAATTCATAACATTACGAGAATAAAGTTGTAATATTACGAAAATAAAGTCCTAAAATATACTGATCTTCTTTTTAAAACACTTTTGAAAACCAGATTTCAGCCCCAGCAGAAGAATTCTGGGCTCTTTGGGGATAATATATCCAAAAATCTTCCGGATGCTCTGACAGACTCCATCCCAGTAAGGTGCCAGTTTTGGGCAGATTTTAAGACAGGATTTTTTTTTTTTAAATAGAAATTTTCTTACTTTTGGGACAATATGCTCTGATAAAGAGTACATTTATATACACGTTTAAGCCAGAATGATTTGACATTTAAATATGCACTGCAAAAACATTCTAGAAAAAAGTAAAAATGTCTTTAATTAAGTATATCCACCTTTAATTTGAGTAGGTAAATGAGAAAGTTTGCCAATGGAATGAGTATTTTTACTCATAAAATAAGATAATTGGATAATATGCACTTAAAATAAGACAATGAAATTGTGTTTTCTTATTTTAAGGGTAAATTGTCTTGTTTCATTGGCAAAATGTCTCTTTTACCTCCTCAATTCAAGAACAAATGCACTTATTTTAAGAAAGAAAATTTAGATTTTTTGCAGTGCACAACTTTTTTTTTTTCATTGATGGAAAAAATGGTACATTTATTTAACAAAAAATAAAGTAAATAAAGCAAACTAACAAGACTGGGCCCATCAAGGAAACCGAATGATAAAAATCAATATAATCCAAACCTGACATAAGAGCGACCTAACTGACACACAAGGAAAACACATACACACACATATATATATATATATATATATATATATATATATATATATATATATATATATATATATATATATATATATATATATATATATATATATATAATGGTTGTTCAGACCATTTTGACATAGAATACATTTGCCTAAACAAAACTACAACAAAAGACCAAACTGAAAGCTGAACCATACTAAGTCAGCAACTTATGAGGAAGAGAACCTCAATAATTACATTTCCCAAATTTAATTATAGAAAATAAAATCAAATACAGAAACCTAAAGCCTTCCTACACCCCTTCTAAAAGTAAGTGGAAGAGTCCAACTTGGCCTCCACGTCAATGAGGAGATCCTTTTCAGATGGGACCTCCTTTCCTTTACTGGCTACACTCACGACAGCCTCCCAGGAACTGGCAACTCAAATGAAAAATATATTATGGTACAAAAAAGCAAGAAATTACAAAATGAGACAACTAAATGTAAAAGTAAAAAAAAAAAAAAAAAGAAAAATGAAATACAGTACAGTAAAATATAAGATTTATTTAATGAAAGAACTACCAGACCATTTGTTGTATGGTTGCAGATGCGGCCATCACACAATCTATGCTTATCAAGGTAAAGCAGCAGGAAAATGAACTCATACAGCATTTATATTTTCCAAATGAATCCCTGAAGACAGATAAAATTTTGATGTGATCCTTGCCAATAAAGCTTAGCACATAGTTAAACATTATTGTGGTAATGTGGCCTTTTGTTTTCCTTATGAAGTTAATTTCATGTCTTATTTTTCTGATTTGGATTTGCTTGTTATATTTTTGAAGTTATTTACTTTTCTTGTTAGAGTTAGCTTGGGTTGCTGTGTTGCATGTTTTTCTGATTTAGTTTTTTTTACACAACTTTAAAGTCTGTACGCATTGCTAGCTAACAGCCTGCGTCACGCCATCTCTGTTGTTCTCCAGTTTATCCGTGTCAACTAGCCTGACACTCATTTAGAACCATTTTCTTATCTTTTTTTGCCTTTTCTTTTTACATATAAAGAAAAAAAAAAGCCCGGACCGATCGGCAGCACGTACCAAGGATTGGTTCGCACTGAGGTCATTGCATAAACTCCTCCTCCTTATAGTCATTTGAATTGTTTTAGTCTAAAAATGTTCAAGTGTGACGAATGAAAAAGCTCTGCATCTTTTCACGGCCACCGTATGCGTTCCTGCATAAAGGAATCTGCACGTCGAATACTTGCTGAGGACTGATGGGAGTTTTGGACGGACCTAAAAATATTCCAGAGGCGCAGAATGAAATAACGCACTAATACTGGAAGCATGACTCCAGCCTTGTCGAACACGACAGCTATGCGTGCAATGGCTAAACATCCGCCTTCCTGGGAGCCACGCATCACAGCAGCTCGCCGTCGCAGCCTCCACCCGGAGAATGTTCTTGTTTAAAAGCAGCATTCCTCTCCTGCTGCTTTTTATAGGGAGTTCTTACAGATGCATTCCAGCCTAAATCATCCACGCCTGCGGCCTTTTTTTTAGGGTTTCTCCCCTCTTTAGACGACCGATACATTACCGGCCATTCATGCTCTGCTAATGGAGGGGAATGTTGTCACCTCTCATCTCTTTAAAGGCGTTATTTTTCCCACTTTAGGGACGTTTCATCATCCTGATGTTAGAACAGCTGCTTATCTTTGACGTTAAGCCGAGATGCTCCGTGTACCTTACCGTGCGAAAGATTTATCGCCGCTGTCCAGATCTGTAATGCACAAGCTGAGGAGTTTGATTCTCACTCCAAGCTGCTTCATTTATCTCTGAAAGTATTTTACCTTCTGATGTATCTATATACAAACCGGATAACAAAATACCTCCGTGTATTTTTAGCTCATACGTTTGGTGTTTGAATTCCCAAAATGTTTGTGCTTTCGCTCCCCGTCTCCGTGTCATTTAATGCTATTTTTTTTTCCTCTTTCTTGCAGAGAGAATAATTGACAGCATTTTAACTGCCACGAAATATTACGGCCTTGGAAAGGAGCTAGACAGGTACTCGCCTTTATCCTGCCTCTACACCCAGCGTTTTACCCTTTTCTCCAGGTTACTCACCTCTTCTTCTTCTTCTTCTTCTGTGTCCTCCCAGAGTCAAATGTAAAAGATGCATCATAGTGGGGAACGGGGGAATCCTGTATAATAAGTCTCTGGGCTCCCGTATTGATGAATACGATGTTGTCGTAAGGTAAGGCGAAACGATTTAAAACCATAAAAAAGGAATTTTAATCTGTGGTTTTATGTTCGCTGCTATAATAACAGATGTCTTTCAAAGACAAAAGCTAAATAAAGACTTTTTCAAGCCAAGAGGGCGGCGTCCATTTTTTATTTCTCTCTATAAAAATTTGTCAAACATTGTAAAAAGGTTTTATTTCCCAAATCCCTCAAAGCTGTTGGTTTGCAGCAGTTTAAACACAGACGATGCCATTTGAAGATCTATATGGCATCCCATCATAAACTTACTTTTTCTGGATATTTGAACTCGATTTTTTAAGTCATAGCATTTATTTCCCAAGAAGAAGTTGATATGAAAGCTGTATGACGGGTTATAGGGAGATGAAACGCAGGAAGGCAATGTCAACGCAGGGGCGGATTTAGGAAATGTGGGGGTCCTAGGCAAAGACAGGCAGGGGGCCCTCTAAATTGAGAAGACAACACATAAAACGGATACAGAAATGTTAATAGAATAGACATCCATTATCTGTTCTAGGTTGTGTCCCTCTCTTCTTGTCCCTTTTCTTCTTGTTTTCCTCTCTATGTTTTGTACTCAGCTGTCTTTTCATGCTGTCTCTAAAGGAATGAAAGATTTTTTCCAAGCACTAAGCTCACTTAGCTGATTGCTCCTTCCTGTGTTTCCAAAAAGGCCAAAGTAAATAACCCAGTCCTTCTTTTCACTGTAGACAAGCCATGATCTGCTTATCTGTTCTCCATTTTTCATTTGGATGAAATAATAGCTGCATGAATCATGACAGCAGACAAGATAGAGGAGAGCAGGAGGCGGGGGTTACCAATCTACTGGCTCTGGAGAGCAGAGTTCGCTGCTTTTAGATGTTGTCGCTAAAGTCTCCAGTAGCAGAAAAAAAGTCCCTACATTTGGCGCTTTTTTGAAATAAGGGAGCTAGAGGGGTCTGAAAAGTGGCTAAATATAACGACAAAGCGCTAAGTTGGCAACACTGCTCTTTGCATCGTTTGTTTTCAAATGGTTTGCTGCTGTCTGTTTGGACCTTTCTAAGCGTGTGCAGCAAATTGACTCCAATGCGCACATAATTAATGTGCACAAATAAGGAATAGTTGTCAATGTCAATGTCAAATTTATTTATATAGCACTTTAAAAACAGTTATAAAACTGCACCAATGTGCTGTACAGGACAAACAATAGTATTAATTAATAAAAACAGATTATCAAAACACTTCAAGTAAATGCCAAAGAATAAAAATGAGTTTTAAGAAGCGATTTAAAATGATCCAGGCTGTGGGCAGATTTAATTTGAAAAGGTAAATTGTTCCATAAAATTGGAGCAACAACAGAAAAAGCCCGATCTCCTTTCCTCTTAAGTCGGGTCCGAGGGACTGTCAGTAATAGCTGATTATTTGATCGTAAGCTTCTGGATACAGAGTTGTATTAATTATACATATAAACAGAGTTCTATGGGGCCCCCAGGAACATGGGGCCCTAGGCAACTGCCTAGTATTGCCTAATGGTAAATCCCTCCCTGTGTCAACGTCCACAATAATGACCAGTTCAAGGTTCTAAATAACTGCTGCTGCTTCGATGACTTGAAGGGAATCCGCCTGGAAGGGTATGAGAGGCGGCTCAGAGCGTCATCGACGCTGGAGGATCAGTAAGGAGGTCATGTGGGTCAAAGCAGGCTGATCAGCTGCATGTCTTTGGACTGACTGCCTTAAGGCCAGAACACACCGATTTTGCGTCTGATCCAACAGTAAATTATGTTCGATGAGGTCGTAACGTTTAGCGCTTACTGAAAGTAAATTGGGAGGATTTCCTGCAGGGGGCAGCGTTTCTCCGACTGAGAGGGAACCCAGGTCTATTTTAGTCGGACAAGGCAGCAATTCACCAGCAATTTCATGAGTCTGACAGGAAGAGAAACGCTGTTAGAAAGTAAAACACATCCGCTTTGGGGGGAAATAAAAAATAAAAACCTGTTAAACGCACAGGGGAAGAGTCAGTTTGGAGTCGCGTTTATAGTAAGCAGGACAGACGGGTGAAAAAAACAATGCATTAAACATTAAAGGAAAAGTCCGATCAGCAAGGAATGATCAATGGATCATTATCTATACCTAAAAAAAAAACTATTTTTATATAATTTTTGTTGAGATCACTGAGTCTGGGAGCGGCCATTTTTGCCCAAATATAGTAGCCCCTCCCTCCTGCCATCTTCAAGCAGTGACGTCACGGTGCGGTAAGCCTAGCGCCATTCTCCCCGTATGGAAGGAAAACAGTCTCATTGGAATCTTTTGAATTTTAAACATCGAATTCCTTACACTCAATTTTTATCACTCAATTTTTATCTGGTAAAAATTCACTAGGAAAAAATTCAGCGGCAAAAGTGTTGACCTTTTGGTGAACTCAGGCCAAAGCAATCTACACTCGATAGAGTCGAGCAGCTTCTAGCCAATGAAATTAGCTCATTTGGTCACGTGACACAACGGCTGCGCTCAACGCTGTTCCCGGCTGAATGAGGAATTTTTTTTTTTTTGTTAAACAGAGTTACAGAACGTCAGTTAGCTACTAACAGACAGCTATTAGAGTTTTTCCTCTTATCACCCCTGTCTGCCAAGGCTCTTGGTTTGATCCGGAAGAAGCGGCCGGCGGCAAACCGCCCGCTGGCCGAAATGAAGAAGAAAAAAAGTTTGCCGCCGGCCGCTTCTTCCGGATCGAACCAAGAGCCTTGGCAGACAGGGGGGCCGTACTAGCTCTGATCGGCTCAGTTGTTTCACCCAGTCTGATAAGAGGAAAAACTGAATTCAGCTGAATTTTTTTCTGGTGAATTTTTACCAGATAAAAATTGAGTGTAAGGAATTCAATATCTAAAAAAAATCAGTGTTTAAAATTTGGTGTTAAAAAATTCCAATGAGACGGTTTTTCTTCCATTCTCCCCGCTTTCCAAGCTAAATCAATGGGAACTACTAGACACATCTGCAATCAACAACAATTATTGAAGATTTCCAGAGGACTTCACCATTGAAATTCACCAGAGCTATAGTGAAACTGACAATGCCCACGTGCATGGCAGCTGGATGCTGGAATACATCGGGTAAAAGTGAAAAAAAAAAGAGTTATTCCACCTTTCTGATTCCTGATCCTCCACGGACGGGTTGGTCGTTGGATCGCCAACTTGAAGAGGGAGGATTTGCCATCGAACTTCTGGCCAGAGAAAAAACCCGTAATATGTAGCCAACATTTGGAGGAAGAATGTTTTCAAGATGACTTGGATAATAGCGCGTTGTGACAAACACCAGATACAGCACTGGGACTTGATCAACAGCCGATACCGCACCGTGACGTCACTAACCAGTAGTTGGCAGTGGTGTTCTTTGACAAACATGGATGCCTCCAGTAAAGCACATTCACATGAAAATTACTCTGAATTAAAAACACTGATCATTTATTGAACAGGATGGAATCATTTCATATTTAAAGAACTTTCAGAAGTTTGAATTCTAAAATATGAGCGGACTTTCCCTTTGAAATAAAAAACTAGTGATTGACTTTGAGCCTCACAGAAACCAGAATAAGGAGGTTCAAACAGAGCAGGTCAGCGCAGCGTATCTCTCTCACCTCTTTATCATAAAAAGAAAGAAAATCTTGGATAAACTTCCCAGATCTCTCTGAGAATCACCTCTCTGCCTCAGTCAGCATAGAAACCGTCCCACTGAGTTTATTGCTGTGTTTTTCTTTTCTTTAGACTTGGGATCTCATTATGTTTTAAAATAGGGACGCACGATATTGGGATTTTGGCCGATATCCGATATGCCGATATTTTAAAACTCATGTAGCCGATAACCGATATCGATACCGATGTTAAAGCTGGACAAAAATAAGTAGTCATTGAAAATAGCAGTTTTGTTATCCATTTCTGACGCTTTGAAAAATAATATACTCAAATATATTTTCATATGCTGATATCAAATTGATTTTTAAAAACGCGGTATCGATCTATTTTACTTTCAAAATCTCGTGAAATTTCATCGTTCTGTTACAAACTCTCATGATATTTTGCAAATTCTTGTGAGATTTTGTTAGTAAAATAGATCGATACCGCGTCAATATATCAACATATAAAAATATGGCAACATTTCGTGAATTTTCGGGGGATTTCGTAGCATAACGATGACATATAGCAATATTTCATTAGTAAAAGAGATTGATATGGTGTTTTTAAATGGCAATATATCAGCATATGAAGATATTGGGATATTTTAATGGATCAATATTTTTTTCCCTCGTCTTTAGAAGTTTTTAAGTCTGTAAAAAAGAAGTTTTTGAGGAAGAAGAAGAAGTATTTTTTTTAGACTTTAGAAACTCAGAAGCTGATCAAATATCGGGTTAAATATCGGTGGGGTGGCCGATGTCCGATATTCAGTTTTAAGGCCGATACCGATAGGGGGCCGATTATATCGTGCATCCCTATTTTAAGATATGAACAATATCTATCTGTTCTGGTTAGAAATGCACCACTGGTTTTAATTATTTTTATTAACTTTTCATAATCTGTTCCAGTAAAATGTGGGAAATAGTTTTAATCTGCATATATCACAGAGACAGAAAATAATCTGCGTAGATCTGCTCACCCTGCCTAGTCGGAGCCTCTTCATACACAGTCAGTGTGACATGGAAAAATATCGGATCGGAGAGTAAAAAGTCGTACGCTGACGGTGTGTTCAGGCCTTTACTGTGGCACAATCAAGCAGTTGGGACCAATGTTGAACTAAATTTTAAAGCGATGATCCTGGGTAAATAATCAAGCTTTATAAAAAGGTTTCTATAAAGCCTATTTGTTTCAGGGATTGAAAGATTATTTTTTTTATTTTTTTTTAGGCTGATACCAATGAATTTGACAGCAGAATAACTGATCCCCGATATGTGCTGCCAATATTTTTCACCGATTTTTGTCTTTTTCTTCCTCCATTTCCATAAAAACTTATGGCACAATGATAATAAATGTAAAGCTAGTCCCTTATTTTTTGCTCTCTCGCCGTCCGCATCAAACAACATCCTAGATTTATTCATCAAGATGGGTCAGTTCAGTTTTTGGTGTCTAGAGGGAAACTCAGGCGTGTCTTTCTGGTGTTCACAGGTTGAACGAAGCCCCAGTAAGCGGCTACAAGAGAGACGTTGGGACCAAAACTACGATGAGGATCACCTACCCAGAGGGCGCCATCCAGAAACCTGACAGCTACGAAAAAGACTCGCTGTTCGTCTTTTCTGCTTTCAAACCGCTTGATTTCAAGTGGCTCAGACAGATGGTCTTCAAGGAAAGGCTGGTAAGAAAAATTCTAATGCTGCAGTTTAAAAGGGTCCTAAAACGGACCATGCTTGATCTTTCTTCTCTGCGCTTCTGGCTAGCTTTCCTCGCGCCCATAGATTGTGTCCTACTCTAGTGTGGATCTTTTTCTGTGCGCTCATGTCAATTTATGTCACTTCTAAGGTTGTAACCAACCAGAGAAAGTAAACTGCCTGTGGTTAGCTACTTTCCAGGAAATCCCGCCCCCTCATACAGTATTTGTGGCTAGTTTCACTACCCGATCTGTCCCGGAAGCACGATCCGTCCCGGGCATGCGCCATCGGCTCATTTTCGCATCCGGATATACATCCTGATCGCCCTCGATTTATATTTTGTTAAAAAGACCTAAATTATGTTTTTCCCTCCCCAAAATAGTAAGCGTACTAAAATATAGATTAATAAAGTATTTCCTGAGAAAATATATGCCTTAAAATCCTTTCTGTTTCATTACTAGGCTCTGCAACGGAAATGCGAACTTTTTCAGCTTTGGATTTATGTTTTCCTTTTGTAACATTATGGCATATAGTGTGTAATCTCTAGAAAGAAGTAACTAAAATGGAGATAAACATGGTTTTAGCTGACTGCTCTGAGCATGTCCCATGATTACGTCAGAGAAGCAGTTTAACAAAGAAATGTAAAAAGCATCAAAACTGTCTCACAGAAGTCCAAACCTTTTTTAAAGATGTGTATTAGCATTCTTTAGTGAGTTAAGGTTAGAAAAAAGTAATTTTAGTACAATAATATTATTTATGGACACCTGGATGTATATCTGTTCGTGTATGCGCAGGACGGATTGGGTCGACACAGCTAGCAATGTTAGCAAAGCATCTTCTGGCTAATAGCTCATCTATTAAAGAGTTCAAAAATGCTTAATTGAATCATCAAACAATTTAGTTTAACTCAGTCACTAATGTTTTCTGAAAGCAGTAAAAATATGCTATAAAATTATTTATGTTACATTTGGAAGTTGGTATGAGCTAAGCTAATGTTAGCTTCGCTGTTTTTGTTGAGGAAAGCGAGGCTTGAACAAACTCTGGTGTATAGATGAACGCCGACATTTGCAATTACAATCAGTTTACGTCTATCATGTACGGAGGAGTATCATGTACGGAGGCTAGAATTATTATTTTTTTATTTGAGGATAAACTCATGAGGATGTCAAAGTGGACTCTGGTTGCTGATTGGTGGAGCTGGTCGGCCGTCATCTGCTGGGCGGAGCTCCAAACTTTCTTTCTGAAACGGATTCTGGTATGATGACTTTATTCTCATAATATTGCGACTTTATTATCTTATTTAAAAAAATAAAAAATAAAATCTCTAGCCTGGCCATAATACGCCATCGTATTTATGAAGCATATTTCCTTTTCTATCCCGTGTTTATTAAACTATGATTTGATAACAAAGATGGCTGCTGGATATAAAGCCAGAATTTACCTCTTGAAAAGAACAGCTGTTAGCCTCAAGATGCTTTACTAACGCTAACAGCTGCAACTAGGAAGAAAACAGGACTGTCTCAAACTGATCCCCTCAGTATCACCGATGAAGCTAACGTTTGCTTTGCTCATATAAAGTTAGAAAATTTAAAGCTACAGTGTGTAATAATTACAGGGTTATACAGTCAGAAAATGTAATATATTATACATAACTATGTTATTTATCATCATCTACGAGCTCAGCCTCTTAACCTTAATGTTGCCTTAGAATTTGTTATTTCTAATTACATAGGAGCGTGTCTCGCAGCCATGGAGGCAGACATCTTTGCGCTATGGCAGCGCAGAGCCAACAAACTAGCGATTGCGAGATCTCCCATTACGCTCCAAAGTAACTACGGCAAGTTGAGAGAGATGAACTGAGACGGTACTGAACAATAGATGGCAGTATTAAAATTATCTATGTAAACAAACCTCATCACTTGAGAAGGTAGGTGATGCGGACGTCGTGGAAGACATTTTGTCCCGTAACGCTTGCCGTACTGTTGGGGGGGAGAAGCAGTGGGGGGGAGATGTTCATGTTGCTGGAGTCTGCAGTCTGGACGTTAGATGTCACTGAAAATTACACACTGTAGCTTTAACATCAGTAATTTTAGCTCATATTTCTCCTCTGTCAGAACTCATTCATGCTTGTGAGTTATTTAACCCTTTATAGGGCAAGTTACAGTTTTTGATCCCTTGCATACCCCCTAAGGAGTTTGCCTCGTGAGACCATCCTGATCTCGCGAGCTTTCAAGGTTTCACTCACAGATCAGTTTGGAGCCGTTCACCAAACGAACGTCCAATCAGCGTTGGCTTTGAGGCGGGTTGAGGTGTGACGCAACGAGAAGCGCGACAGTTCAGTCTAAAGAACATGGCGGCTTCAGCCGATGAAACTAGCGTTAGCGTGGCTATCGAGCAAGTTTTATGGGAATTACAGAGTATTTCTTCACTGAAAGAAGAGCAAAACACTGCTCTGGAGGCTTTTCTCAGGGGAAAATATGTTTTTGCTCTTCTCCTGACTGGTTTCAGCAAGAGTTTGATCTATCAATTGGCTCCTCTTCGTCGTCGCTCTGTTAGTACGTCATATGCTTCGTTGATCTGATTGGTTTATTTGTCCCGTCTATTACCAACATAGGCCAATCAGCTAACCAGTATTTTCGCCCCTTCCCAAAATTACTTCAACGGAAGGTTTCCAGATGGATATGCGGAGCAAATCCATCTGGCGGAGTCAGGTTACCTAAGGTTATGTTGGACCAAAAAAATGTGTTGCTGTCATCAGTGTTTTTCATGAGTTACATCTAGAACGGTTGTTATATTTCTTAATATATTCGGGCACGTTGGCGTTTCTTATTACATTGACATTCATTTTTCCCATCAAAATATCCACATTGTTTTAATGTAACAAAGGTAATAAGGTCTTATCCTGGATTCCAATAACTCTGTTGGCTTGAAATATAGATTTCAAACTATTTCACTGAGTGCCCTAGAAATGGTTAATGATGATTCCCCTTAACACTTTTTTAACTCTTTAAGAGGGTGGCTATTAGCCTGAAGATATGTTGCCAGCGTTCCTGGCCGCAACTAGCAAGACAACGACAGAGACGGGATTTCCTGAAATGTAGCCAATCGCAGGCAGTTTACAGCCTCTGGTCGGTTCCTCCCCCAAAGCTGACACATGTGCACAGAAACTGTCAAAAAGGAGAGAATCTACAGGAACATAAAAACAGAGCTATGTTCCCAGAGAGGGACTCGTGCCTTTGATGCATCAGGGTCCTAATAGGGTTCAATCTGTTCTCATAAAATGTTCACAATGGGAGCAGAGAGCAGTTTAAGTGTGTGCGTTCTTAAGTCAAACTGCTCTTATGAGTTTTTATTATCCGTTTGGAAGAATTCGGACTTAATAGAAAAAAATTATTAGAATGGTTCTTATCGACTGGCATATATGAAAAGGTCTGACTGGTTGCAAAAATATAACTGGAGACATTAATGTTAATAAAGCTCTATAGATATAAGGATTAACCCCTCAGTTCATTTCCACTTAATCACACCTTAATATTTTCTCTCTCTAAATGCCGTCTGGAGCAGATTTTCTAAGGAGACTTTGGGTTCTTTATATTCACTGGGACAAAAGAATATTTTATATCATTCTTGTGGATTGCTGATGTTCCAGTTTAATTGACTGAGATTATTATTTAGTCCATTCAGCAGCTGAGAAAAGACCTTCCCAGGAAAACCTGATCACATCTACGCTGCTGAAGGTTAAGGAAAGAAAGCTCCTCCTCATGTTTTACTGCTTAGCTGGTAACAAAATGCTTTAAATTTGCTTCATTTTTGCTTGATCTAGTAAGAAAACAAATTAAACAAACATACTTAATTATTTATGAATCCTACTGATTAATAAGTGTGTAAAAAAAATCTAATAAAATAAAAAAGGGAAAAAAACCTCCACTGGGTTCAGTTGGAAGGGAAGCTGACGCTGGGTCTCTTCCCTCTCCAGGTCGTAATGTAAACCATCCACTTTAGAATAGAATAGTAGTAGTGAATAGTAGTAGTGATCATCCATTGTCACTAGATGAGCAGATATATCCCAGAATGCTTTGCGAGAGCTCTCCTTGCAAATCATTAAAGGAATAGTACACCCAAAACATGATTAGCCTTCATTTTCTACTCCCCCCCAAGCTGAACAACACTCTGGAGTACTTTTTTGATATCTCAAATGCATCTGGAGATCTGGGAGGCTTCTTGCTGTCTGCTGACATTCAAATAATGGAGGTCTATGGCGCCCGAGGCAGAAAGGTCCATAAAAGTCCACAAAAAACGTGTCAATATTCCTCCATACTGCTCGTCCAATGTATTCCAAGTGTCCTGAGTGGGTAGCGTCCATAATTTACTCGAAACGAAGTCATTTAGAATGTTTTTAGAGCATAAACAGTAGTGTATAGGATTTCCTAGCAGATAGATAGCAGGTAGTGTGAGCAGGTAGATCTGATGCGATCTACCTGCTCACACTGTACGTCTAAAAACCATGTTGGACTCAGCTCTGCAGTGAGATGGCGCTACTTGGACTCATCTATCCGGAAGCCAAACCAGTAGCAGAGGAATATGAAGCTCACTAGAGTGAAACGCGCTGCCTTGGAAATTTGAGCAATTTAGTGCTGAAAGTCCTAAAAAGAAAAGGAGACGACGTATTTGGACAAAGACATGGCTGAGCTAACATGGCTACTACGGTCTGTCAGTTTTAAAAGAAAAAACTCTATTTCACTCATTGCACCCCCGCCATGCTTCTGTATTGGAAGAAGAAGAAGAAGGAGAATACTCCGCCAGATGGATTTGCTCCGCATATCCATCTGGAAACCTTCCCTTGAAGTAATTTTGGGAAGGGGCGAAAATATTGGTTAGCTGATTGGCCTATGTTGGTGATAGACGGGCTAAATAAACCAATCAGATCAACGAAGCATATGACGTACTAACAGAGCGACGACGAAGAGGAGCCAATTGATAGATCAAA